TTCCTGCTGTCAGCTGCACTCCCCACCAGTCCAGCTGGGATTCTAAGGGTGCCAGCTACCTTCTCTTTGCCAGCAAACTCCTTTTTGCCAAACCAAAACCCCCCGGTATCCCCTCCAGAGACTCTTCAGCTTCCACCTCCACTCTGCTGCCCGCACTTTCCAAACTTTTACGTAACTGGACAGCTCAGACAGGAACAAGGATATAAATCTTACTACCCAAGGCTGAAATATGAATTACTCAAGAAAGTTTATTAACAATAGCACCTGATATGATCACACTGAGAAGGAGGGTGTATTGTTAAAGCACAGACATAGGCCCCTCCTCTAACAGTGCACAAAGGACTGCACTTGCCCATACCCAGTTTGGCAGAGGTATAACCATGATCTACATTCAGGGAAATAGGGTTACTAGTGTGGGCGTCTCTTCAATGCAGGTATATTTGTTCCTGCTGGCTGGAATTCAGTGTTCCTTCCTCTACCACCATCTCTCTCAGCAGCTGTAATTAAGGGAAAAACCTAGCTTGGATCCGTTACAATTCGACAGCAGAGGTGGCTCATCTGCAGCACCAAGCAAAATCTATTTCAGATGATGGCAATAGCAACATCTTTTCCCAGAGACAGGCCACCAAGCCCCTCTAGAAATGCAGAGAGCTTTTTGGGGTCTGAATACCAAAAATATTAAGCATATGCAGAAAAGGAGACCTAAGGGTCACAAATTAGCTGTGGCCTAAATTCCCTGCTGCAGATGCTACTCCAGCCAAAAAATGGCCTTGTACTATCTGCTGGAGACAAAAACAGTTGGAGATGCTGAGCCAGGAAAACGAATGACACTGCATCAATTCTCATACTTCCTGTCTCCCTCTATTGGAAGGGCTGAAATGTCCCCACACAGCCAGATTGTCATGGGAAAATGTTAAATAAAAACATGTGCAGCATTGAGCCAAACTGGGCTCCTCAAACATCTGTAATGCAATAAGAGAACCTGCCAGGTTTTATGGCCAGCATAACACAGCAATGCCTTGTTAGTGCAAGAAATAAATCCTTTTAAACATGTCCTGGATACATTTTCTTGTTCCTGCCTCTTCTCAAAAAATCTATGGCTAATTGGACAGTAGAGTCTGGATGTATTTAACAGAACAAGTTAACATTGAAGCAATTAATGTGAGCATGATATTAGTAAGTAAAGGGGATTGACAAAAAGATACCATGTGCTTCTTCAGCTTCGGAAATAGCTTGCTTAAAATCTGCTCATGATGGGCCTGAAATCTCTGCAGCTTTGGGAACCCGGGAATGAAAAATCCTTTAAAAAATATACACAGAAGTAATTAGAGTCAAATAAAAAAGTAATGACAGGTGTCGACTGCAAGGCTGATTTTCCAAAAGACTGAACATCCTTATCCACCACCCTTCTTATGAAAGAGACTTAAAAAAAAAAGTACTTCTTCAGTTTAAAAGTCACAATCAAATGAAAGCAGCATTAATACAGTTAGTATAAAATAACACATCACATTTCCCAGCACACCACATCCCTTTGAATAAATGTACTGGGGGATATATTCCATAGTATGTTTAGGATGCACTATGTGTGGTTACTAAGGGCCACGTCCCCACTTGCGGAAAGATCAACACTGTAGTGGTCGATCTTCCAGCATTCAATTTGGTGGGTCTAGTAAAGACCCGTTAAATTGAACACTGAGGGCGCTCCCGTCGACTTCCTGCGTTTTTCTCATCGATTTCCTGCTGTGAGGACAGCACCAAAGCTCTCCTTAAGGTACATCGACTCCAACTACATTTTTTATGTAGGTGGAATTGTGTATCTTAAGCCCACCCACTGCCGAAGCATGGACTTGCCTAACAGGTAAGACTACACTAGCCATTTTTAAACCCAGAGTTAATTTATTGCCATGAAATGTTTGTACCTGGAATACACAACAAGCTTTTACAAATATGTTAATTACCTTGAGTCAAGAAAGTCCAGTGCAGCTAAACTTTAAGTTTTTCAATTACAAATGAGCCAACATGCAAGGGCTAAATCTGGCTCCACACATCAATCACTTTACACATAATGAAGGCTTTAAGCATACTTCAGACAATCAGCAGACAAGAGTGGGAAGTGGGTAGAGTACACATTTGACTGCTGATTTCCTCTTGCTGGCCAAAGAAGCAGCAGCATGAAGACTAATCAACCAGCAGGTGAAGTGTACAGAAATGGTTGCAGTTCTACTGAGGCTTACCATGCATTGCGTGCTTCTGATTGGTCAGCAGTTGTGCCAGTGCCCAAAAGGCATCTTCTTCATTTAAATACATCAGCAGGATGGCAGCAATTTGACTCATCCCTTGGCAGTAGCTCACTTCCTAGAAGGGTCGAGAAGCACACAGATGTTTACATGACACTCATTCTTAAACATGCTGAGCTGTGCATAGGCACACATCTGACTTCCACCATTTTCATTAGGTGGAGGCACAACTTTGTTTAAAGATATCTAGACATCATTACTTTCCACTGGTACGGAAACCTGTGTCTATGCTCCAGTGCAGCAGTTTTCAATCTTTTTTCATTTGCAGGCCCCTAAAAACAACAAATGGAGGTGTGGCCCTCTTTGGAAATTCAGCCTGTAATCTGCAAACCCTGCCCTTCAAACCTGAGACTGAAAACTAAGTGAACAGAATTCAACTATAAATGGTGCACACACCTGGTACTTGCTTTTGGTGCAGAACAAGAAAGGGCCCAGAATTGTGGGCTTCTACGGCCATGACAACCATGGCCTCTGGGTGGCAGTATTCACATGCGCGTGTTTGATCAGACAAACAGAATGCCTTTTCTGGCACTTGCAACATCGTTTTCACAAGTCCCCTTTTGCTGACCCCTTTGAACACTGTATGTGGACCCCCAGTACCACTTGTTGAAACCACTGCAGCAACTAAGTCTAAGAATGACAGGAAAGATTATAAGGGACCCAGTGACTTTCAATAGGACTTAGGCAGCTGGCTGTTATTTGGTCCTTCGGGGGGGGGGGGAACCCCCTCTCCCTTAGGACTATCCTTTAAGTGCTACATAGCTCCTTGTGAAGCTCGACACCAGATCTGCATTAGATCCAAGAGCCAATCATTTGGGACACTGACAGTTAGCAGTGGATTCTGCAAGTCCTTAGTCTCAGCTTACCATCTATGGCAGTGGTTTTCAAACTACAGGTCACGACCCAGTACTGGGTCATGGAATGTCAGGCACCGGGTCTCGTTGCTGCAGGGGGATCAGGTGACCAGTGGGGTGCTAAGGCAGCTGCCCGCCTGTCCTGGCACCACAGACTGTGCTGCACCCCAGAAGTGGCTGGCAGCAGGACCGGCTCCTAGGTGCCCCAAACACTAATTCTGCACTCCCATTGGCTGGCAACCTGCTGCAGGGTGCTTCTGGGGGCACCATAGCCTAGGGTGCTGTCTTAGTACCCCTGCTGCACCGATAACCAGGAGCCACGCAAGGGAAGCCCCTCCTGCCCCAGCCCTGAACCCTCCCCCCCCCCAAAGCTAGACGCCTCTCGTACACATCAAAGCTCTCATCCTTAGCCCCATCCCACAGCTCACACACTAGTCACATTACACTGGGTTGTGGGCATCAACAATTTTCTTCAACAGGGTCATGAGAAATTTTTTTTTGAAAAACCCCTGCTCTATTGAGACCATTCATCCCCTATTCATCCATCGCACAGGTTCAGCAAGCAAAGCAGCAGTACAAGTTTCCCACGCTTCCTCTAGCTCAGGCCTGGCAAGTCTACCCTGACGGGGGAGAGGGGAGATCAGGCTCCGTGGGATCTTTGCAGAGAAAACATGCCAGGTTGACAGTTATGTGTGGGAGAGACAGGGACACCTGCCTTTGGGAACTGAAGGGAGCGCGCTAAGTTCATTTCACACGGGCCTCGGCACATTGTGAAATGTTACAACAGCCTGAATTGGTGCCAGTGACCTACAGATGGAAGAGAGTTTACTTGGGATGAATCTGATGTGCTTTAGTGTCCAAGGGCAATCCATGTTGTCACTAGAAAAATTTGCACCACGTAAGTAGGCTCATACTTGGTTTACAAAACTCTGCTTTAATATCCCAGGGCTGGTCCCAAGATATCCAGAAAATGAAAACCTTACTGAACTCTATTGTACCTTTTCTAAACAGAGACGGCTCATTGCGCCAAATTGCCTGGTGGCTCTGAAATGTGGAGATACACCCCAAAGCCATCAAACTCATTTTGTTGGTAAGCTGTGAATCTGTTCGTATATAGAAATGTGAACCTGAACTACAAACATTCAGTCACAAATAATGTTACAACTGTCCGGGGTTCCCTTAAACATGCTAGTCCTAAAAATACTAAGGGAAATCCAGCAGTCCCCTAAGTATGGTTGGGGTGGGAGAAAGAGACACTGGGTTTTTTTTGTCTACAAATCCACTATGTAAATTTAGATATTCTGGGTTAAAGAGCCTCTACTAGCTAATGAAGACAGAGTTAATTTCTGTAGCTTGTTTACATATGTTGTCTCTCAACTCTTCACTGAAAATGACTAACACATTGTAAGAACAACAAGTGGTCCTGTGGCACCTTAGAGACTTACTTACACACACACACACACACACACACACACGGCTCAAACCGCGGCAAGCCCCGCTCGCCAACCGTGCTGTCCGGCGATCTGCGCATGCGCAGATCACCCGAACCTGGCTCTTCCGGGTTACAATCTACTCACCTGTGGTGAGTAGATTGTATTATTTGTCAAGCCCTGTATATATATATATATATTGTATCATGAGCTTTTGTGGGAACAACCCACTTCCTTAGATGAACTTGAGATTTTTGCTCACAAAAGCTCATGATAACGACATATATAATTTGTTAGTCTCTAAGGTGCCACAGGACTACTCATTGTTTTTAAAGTTACAGACTTACACGGCCACCCCTCTGAGACTTTATAATATAGTAAGTAATAACTGTCTTCAACCATAAGGATATCACTAAACACACAGCTAGAAATCACAAGACAAAAAACTGACCTACTCCCTTTGGACAGTAGGCCAGGCTCCCAAGATAGATGATGGTAAAGAGCAGTTTGTCTTCTCCTGTGTTGAGCTCCATCCCAATTGCACCTTCAGAATATTACAGGCAACTAGAACTGTGCATGGGAATAAAACAGCCATCTGTAGCTATACACTACCTACTGTATTTGTAGCTTCTGAAGCTAACCACACATTTTCTGTCTGTAAAGATGAAGCATTGGAGCTCTGTATAGAATCATCAGGACTTCCAATTAAAAACTTGGCGCTCCCAATGGAAGATGAACTGTGTAAGCCAAGAAAGAGGTCAGGAGCACTCACTTTTAGCTGGCTCTACTTACTGTGTTGTAAACAGAGTATGCTGAAAGGACATGGAACAACTCTTGCTGCCTGTGTAGGGAGACAGAGGACATTAAGATTTGATCGTCTGAGGAGTTAAATCTTGCCCTTCAACAAGTATTTCACAAAAAGCAAAGGTGCTTTTGACTGTAGCTTCTGCAAGCTCAGTGAAAACTCAATCACACCAGGTACTCATTACACTTCTTATGACAGCAGACAATAAAACAGTGCTAAACTAGGCCATCAAGCCACCAGACCTGTTCAGAAACACACACAAATCTAGTTTTCAGCACACACACACCCATCCATTTTTAAGCAGTCCAGCTGGATTCTAAAACTCGGAAAAACACCACCATCTCGGTTATACGATTCTTCCTCTCACACCTCGTGTTTGTTAAAGAGGAGCGAGGATAGAAATATACAGTGCAATGAGTAGAGGCTGTGAGTGCTCTACAGCTAAAACCCTTCACTCCCAGCCTTGCCTATATATGTGGGATAAGACACCCCTTCATGCTCTCTGTGTTCCTGCATATCTGCCTCAGAAACTGCACAAATATTGCTCTGTGCAACCTGGCAGAAATGTGTACGTGTGGCGATACTTAGGGCATGCAGAGCTGTTGCAGCTGTGGGGGTCTCAGGATAGTGGAGTCACAGATGGCACGCACCTTAATAAGTAGCGTGCAGATATGTAAAACGCCGATGCAGTGGTTGCAATGTTGCAGCTTCAGTGACAGCGCCTACTGAAGGTTTATATTTTCCTTCCATGAATACAGCTACTTTCTCTCCCCTTGGGAGACAGGACAGGTCCCTGTAGCCTTGCTGGAGCCCTAAAGATTTGTCCACCTTTTCCCCCATTAACTCCCTGGTTTCTTTAGGATCAGCATTGCTAGTCCTTAGCCAGGAAGCGCCAGACTGCAGTCACAGAAGAATGGGAAGCCCTCTCCCCACTAGACATGCTCTGTTCAAGTCAGAGGTGTGTTGAGAGAGGGACAAAGCTGCTGCATAAGGGGGATCAGTTTGGAAGCCTGCACGTCAGTCCAGGCTATCAAGAGGCTATCAAGCTCATGCCTTTGTGATGGTCAGAGTCAAGGGATCAGGCAGAGAAAAAAAAAATCCCAATGCAGGACAGTCTGGAACCACGTATCCAATACTCACTTAACACCATAGCGATCCCGGAACATGATGTGGTTTCGAAAGGTGCGGTTGACATCTAGGTCTATCTGCTTGATTTCTGATGAGAAGATCCTGGCTTGTTCTTTCATTTTCTGGATGGAAGTGCGGGGCAGAGCAAGGAAAACCATTAGACAGATACATATATCAGCTCCAGAAATAGAATATTTCAGGAGGAGACCTTTTCATTCCATTCACAACTATCAGCCAGCCAGTAACTCTTCGGTTTTTAATGATTACAAAGGAACAACAGAATGAAACATGCAGACTTGGTGAGTGAGTGCAAAGCTGCAGTCTGTCTAGGGATTACTAGTTTTGCTATCCACTTGGCATTTTTATGAGGCTGGGAGAAAGGAAAACTACCCTCGGGAACTTTTCCATGCGTCTTTTCAGAGGATACGGCACTCGTAACAGGAAGCATTTCAGGTGTGTTCATTGCACACACAGTCAGATCAAGAAGCTGATATTTTAACGAGGTCTGGTCCCTCCATTTCTGTTCTGTTATTATGGAAAAAGTGGACCCGTCAGGCAGACATGCCACTAGAAAAATCATCTGCCTATTAGTTTTCCATTTAGAGCAATGAGTCTGAAGCCACTTCGCCCATTCAGTGCCATCATATATGCCAGGTACTTGCAGATACTGTTCTCATCTCTGCTCAGGAGCACACCAGAAACATTTAGGTACAAAGGGACACAACCAGTACCCCCTGAAATTCTATTCATAGGGATTTCTATTAACTAAATCCAATCGCCAAGACCTAACAGCAGGTGTATGCACTACCGTCATTAAAGGTTTATTATTGAATTATCCCCAAGACTACCGTAAGATGCACAGTCATCACTGAAGTCTAGAACGAAACCTCCTCCCGCCCCACCACCTACAAATGCCTGCGCTCCAGAACATGAAAGCCGTCTGTCCAGGAACCACTCCAGTAGGTTTTTAGAATGGGCTCTTTCTACTCTGATCTCCTTATGCATATACCATGATCCAGTGAATCAATGGTTGCCTAGGATGCTCTTCAGGACAGAGACCATGTTACATTGTGTCTTGTAAAGCACCAAGGCTGCTGGTGGTTCTTAGCAAATAACACACACCAGAAGGGTGACCCGGTGCTGCTCAGGTCCTTAACTCAATTTTTGTTTTTCTTCATTTAAATCCTTGCTCTGGGGTGGGGCTGGAGATGATGGGTAACTGTGCAGACTTCCCTAGGGGGACAGGACTACCTCAGCCCTCTCTCACGGCAGCAGCCTGGGTCCAAGTGAGAAGCTCCAGTGAGTACAGCTCAGGGAGGGGTGCATGTCCCCTGGCTAGGGGACAGATGGGTAGACAGACACCCAGACAAACTCTCTCAGATATGTAGCAGAGAGCTGTCCCTTTCTCCACTCCTGCTGTACTAAAGGAACAAAGTAACTCCAACGTAATGCATGTTCCCTGCGATGCACAACACACATTTCAGTCTCCACTGACTGGGGAGTCCCTTAAGAGGACACAGAAAATGAGACTTGTCTCCAGAGCAACCCTCAACAACGATTCTGACCTGCTGAAACAAACCCCCTTTCACATCCACTCACGCGCTTGCGCATAATGCCTTGCTGAACGCACTTGTTCTAAGGAGCGCACTGAGCGTAGCGAACAGAGCTGCCCAGGGGATAGTAGTATGCAAAGCCACCCAAAAGCCAAGAACAAAGCCACTAGGATGTAAAAGAACCAAGTCTTGGGATTTTAGTGGCAGACATCTTGCACAAGGCCCTGAGCGACCGTTTCGATCCTGCGCTTCATTAGCTCTACAGACCACAAGCAATGGGACTATGTTTTTGTTTTTCAGTAATTTGTGGACCTCTGATTTATTCTGCTCAGTTGCATTCTGTTGCCGAGCCCTGTGGATGCTTAAGCAGGCAGAAGAACAGAAAAACAAGCAACACAAATTGACAGGTCAGCGCCTCCTTCCTATGGCGAACACCCACTTTTCCTCCCTTTCTGCAGCTTTAAAGCCATCCTGTTGGGGGACAGAGATGTGTTGGCGAAAGATGCACAGGAGAACAAACACCCTCTGCAAGTCATACTCCTCCCATCCCTCAATGGATGCTAAAAAGAAACTTGTAACAAACATACGGAGGCTGGTGCAGTAGCTTCACCCACGAGGCCCAAATCCAAGGCTATCATTACAGATGGCATTCTGCCCTGTGCTTCCTGACCACAGCAGATAGTACTGGTCCCACTTTGGGACATGCTGTAGTGGCAACACAAGGACCATGGAAAATTGGCATAAGGTACTGATGTCTCTGCCCAACAATAACGAGGGCCCCTAGGCTGCATGGAGGAAGACAGGGAAAGCATCTCTAAAGGCGACTCGATATCTTGGGAAAAATTAAGCAACGCCAGAGCAACAAAAAAATCAGGGCTATTCCCAGGACCACTTGGGGGACAGCATGAACAAGGACAGTGAGATATTAAAACTCAGCCAGAAAGAGTATCTTGAAGGAGAACATCTTGGCTGAAAGGAGGGCAGCCAGACTCAGGGACCAAGTGAAGCCAGAAAACTTGCCCCTGTTTGGGAGCCCAGAAAAAAAAAAAACGATTGACTTGCTGAGCTCCATAGAGGAGTGTTGGTTTAATCCTGCAGGATGTGGAATGCCTGTTGTGAGGTGCTGGGAACCTCCCATTCCTACTGACATGAGGCTACTCACCATCTCTCAGCAAGAGCTCAGCACCTTATACATCCTGTCCCCTTAGCTGGAAACTACTCCAGCATAATGAGATCCTCATTATTTAGAGATCCCAATGGGTAAACATGGGAAGAACAAGGACACTAGTCACCTTAAAATGACCCTGCCTGATGTTAGGAACAGGGAGAAACCTGAAAACGGTACAAGCAGTTTTGTGTAAAGGAATTTCAAGGCAACTCCGCACTAGCCTTGCTCCACACCCAGGACTCCGTGCTGGCCTCAGTGGGAGCAGCAAGAGGCCAACGCAGAGTGCTTATGAAAATCCCACACAAAATAGGTTTTCCTCCTGATTTGAACTCCCTGGCAGAACTAATTGCTGGCCTCAGGTGGCACCGAGGCCAAGGAAGATTAAGAAGAGCTGCTTTCAGGGATTTGTGCCATGCAAAGCCTCTTATACTGTGTGGTTCCTGTTTATTGCAGGCCGCTCAGGAGTTTATCATTAAACTACTTGTGACTTTCATTTATTCAGATGGTTTTACTTACTGTGCAGTGTGGCCTGCTGGGACTCTTCTGTACTTCTCCAGTGAGGGCTGGAGAGAAAAACTGCCAGAGAATCCTCACTAACCCTGCTCTTTTGGATGATCTTGGTTTCATGTTCTTGTAGGTTTTATTATATAAACCAGCAAGATTTTGCTATTAATATCTAGGCCTGACTAACTAATAGGCGGAGAGTTACTAGAAATACTTGGGTCTATTGGATGAGACACTTGACTCTCTGTCCCTCTGCTTATGAAACGTAATCATTGGGCTATGCTGCGTTTGCTTTTACTGTATTATTCTTACTGCCAGAAATAATATGAAGAAAGTTCAAAAGAGCTCTGTGTTGTGAATACCTTTCTTCTGGCATGCAGCTCCCCCCTGTGCCGGCCAGCACCACTCCTTCAGCTGGCCAGAAGCAACTCCAGACAGCAACGAGAGGTGCCCTCTCCCCCATTCCTCAGAGGCCCAACATGCTGCTTCTATAACGCTCCTGTCCTGGGTTGGGCTTGGGGAGCAAAAGATCAAGTGATTCTAATCCGTTTCATTTTCCCAACAGTTCCACATGCTCTGTGGAAATGTTAACAGCCTGATGGCAGAAAACCAGGCGCA